AATTTCACCTACATGGAAGGAGGGAGAAGAGAACAAAGCCTCAAAGAAATTCAAATCTAAGGTGCCCCATTGTGAAGGCTGTGAACTCAATCCCCAAGTCCACTGAGAACTCCCATCCTTCAAATGATCATTTTAATTGTCATAGCTCCTGTGTTTTTCCATCTAATGGAGCATCAGTGAGACCACAGAACCATGGACACACACACATAAACACAATTTCCTCCAGACGTGATTCCAGCGCTGACAACATTGAAGCCAAGTGCTGTCTGTTACCCTTATCTGCTTTCCTTTAGCTGATGGGAAACATTTCAAGCACTCTCAGCGCCAAAGAGTCTATGCATTTTTCAAACGTCATCTACCCCTGAAGCTGGATTATAATAAGCAGGAGAAAAAAAGAGACAGAAAACATTGTGACAATTTAGAATGTTTTTTGTTCTTTCTGTCCAGAAATCTGGAATGGGACAGGACAGTACATCACTGTCTTATGGCCACTTCCATAATCTGCCATTTGTGTCAAAACAGTTTTATTTATGAGATAAAATAGCAAATACACTGGAAATACTAACTCCCACAGTTATGTGAGATTAGCAAAAAGCTTATGTACAACTGTTCTCTTCTACAAATCAGCAAGTCATCATTCATTCAACCAGCCATCCAATAATTTATTAAGCCCCTACTATGCACCAGACACTGAAGCAAAAGATGCGCCCTTGGCTAGTCACCTAATCTTACTTTTGTTTTGAATCCCACATTCCAGCCACTCTGAATCACTTGTACTTTTCTAATGCTCTTTTCTCATCTCTAAGCCTTTCACTTCCATTGTGTGGAATGCCATCCTTCCCTTTTAGGATGTGGAAAAACTCCACCCAAATGCCCATCATCTCCCCCAAGAAATCTTCCCTTACTCCTTTTCTTCTAGGACACCTTCCCATAATGATCATATTCTGCTTACTTGTGTCTCCCCGGGGGAAATGAATTCCATCCAAACAGAAATTTAAACTGGCATCCAGCATTTGGCCAACTGAGATGCTCAGTAAACTCTGATTTATCTTCATCTCCATCAACTAGAAACAAGATCCTCAGACAGGGATCTGGTCTGTCGGTATTTTTTCCTTGGTACCTAGGCATTGATTACCATTCAGGAGTTCAAGACCAGCTCGAATTGAATAGCAAGACCCTGTCTCAAAAAAAGCAAGTATCTATTCTTATTTCTTCACTTAACAATACAACCTCAGTGTCAATCCATTGCCTTTAAATAAGTACTCCATAAATACCTATGAAATGAATAAAAGCTAATTGAAATAAGGCCATTATTGAAAAATTAAAAATATATAGCTACCAGTATTTTAAGAAATTTAGAAATCACAAGTACAGGATTCACGCATTCTCAGTACACTTTATTTACCTCCTCAAATAATGATTAAAGGAAGGACTTACAGGGTAATTTACTAAACTTAGATGCTAAAGCAGCACTTCTACAAAATAATTTGAATCCATGTTCATGAGGTCCACTGAAAACCTAATAAATCAGCATCTGGAATAAAGTTCCATTGTAAAGATTTGCAAAAACAAAAGTTTCCCTGGGTGATTCCAATGTCAACTGAAGGTTAAGAGCCACTGATAATTCCCTAACATAACTGAAAAGACTTGTAACAAGTGACCCCAGTGTAGGCAATCTCAAATCCTGCCCTTGGAAAGACAAAATGCTAAGAGAGGAATGTGGCATTAATAAAGCTACATGATTTTACCTTCTTTCTCAGCAGTTCTACTTGTAAGTATTGACTCTGAAAATAAGTACAAAGTAACATATTCACAAAGTAATTAATTTCACCATTATTTGCAATACCAATACTCTGGAGGAAAAAAATCTAAATTCCTATCCAGAGAAAACTGATCCAAATATGGCTACCTGGTAGAGCAGTATGTATTCATAAAAAAAGGAGGAAGATGCCTATGAAGGGCAACGGATTGACACCCAGGTGACCTTGTTAAGTGGAAAGGGAAAAGAGCAAAGTAAAGAAATAAGTATAGGCATTTGCTTTTTGTTCTTTCTTTTTTTGGAGACTGGGTCTCAGTATTTAGTTCAAGTTGAACTCCTTATGTAGCCCAAGCTGGCCTTGAACTTGAGGTGATCCTTCTGCCTCAGCCGCTGAGTGCTAGGATTAGAGGCATGGACCACCATGTCCAGCTATATTTGCTTAGTTTTACAAAAATAAATGCACAAAGGATAAACTACGTAATGTAAATGGTCACCACTGTGGGAGTAGATGGGAATGGAAAGGAAGGACATGGAGACCTCTCTCGGTGTGCCTTTTGTGGAGCTGTGACTTTGGAGCCACCCGTAAATGTTTTAAATATAAAGATAATAAATCCAAAAAGATGAACAAAATCAAACCCTAAAGTTAAATGCAAATACAAACAAGTAAACTATGCTCAACTTGACAACAGGACAACATTTAAGTAGCTTTTGAACATGAGTACGCCACACGGCCCCACTGGGCTACATTCTTTATTAACAATGGAAACCGCAACACAACTTGGACTTGACTTGGTTTCTTGTTGGTGTTGGTACAGTAATTCTGAAACAATTTCATGTACATTATTTGCTAAACAAACCAACAGCCTATACTGAAACTGTCAGGAAACAAGTTTTTCTCACTGTGAGCAGAATGGTATAAAAATACTGGGATGAGAGGGGAGATAGAACACAGCTGTATTCAATTTAAGCTGGAAACATCAGCAAACACTCATGATTTAAAATAATATATATTTGTAGGGAACAGGGGCAGGGGACGTTACTAGAACCTCTGCAGTGAGTCCTAGTCTCCTGCAAGCCACGGCAGCACACGGCGAATTACAAGAAAGGTAGAAAAATGAGACTGAGAAGAAGCTGAGCTTTGGGTCTGATCAGTGCTGCTCTGGGCAGCAAAGACAAAAGCCCCCAGCTTACCACACCTTTTATTCAGTACATGGGGAAACAAATCTAACAAGTGAAATGCAAAGTTCAGTACTTCACCTTGGGATAAACAAGGTGTAACAAAAGACTGGGGGGCAGTGGAAATCTAAGAACAATGAGGAACTATGCAGATGAAGATTTGGTTCCTCCCTGGCGTCTCCCACAGGTGTGGTCTTGTCCTGGAGCATTACAGCATCCGGGGATCACTGAGGTCTCAGTTGTGACCAGAGGCCAAAATGCAATTATGTCTGGAATGCCATACCTGGCCTGTAAGCAAGAGAACTAGGCCTACTCAAATGATTTTTCCCTAGAATTAGGTAGCATTGCTCCCAACATATATTTCTAAACTTTAACTGAAAGGCAGTCCAGCAACAGTGAGTGCACCCAGTTCCTCAATTCATAAATACTATCTCTCATTAAAAAGTACCTGAAATCTCTGAGAAATGGCTGATTTCAGGCAGGGTAATATGATGAGAACCTGAACTATTCCACTGTGCCATGAATGAAGAATGACAAGGACACACCAAAGAGCCACCGGAGGCAGGGTGAAGGGGTTTGCACTGCACTGACCGAGTCTGGCAACACAAACATCAAAAGGAATAACGATATTACAGAATAAATGTCTGTGTCCCCTAAATATTTGTATGTTTTAATGTTAGTCCTCCACTTGATAGTGATTAAGATTAGATGAGGTTATGACAAGGAGCTTTCTTTTTTTTTTTTCATTAACTTTTGTATCAGTGCATATTAGTGACACAGAATGCTGAGATGTGTTTTGGGAAACTGGTACATACATATAACATAAGTTTATTTTTCCTTTCATTATTACAATTATTTTTGTTTTTTTAATTTTATTTTATTGGAACACTTAATATACACAATGACCACATTCACCTATTTGTATCTGTACATGCTATATCTTGATTTTTCTTTTTTTCTTCATATCCCTCCCCTCCCTTCAACCCTTCTTCCCCTCCCCATTTACAAAAGCTTTGCTTCCATTTTTTTCCTCCTGTCTTTTCTTTTTCTTTGGTACCAGGTATCAAACCCAGGTCTTTGCACTTGCAGGGCAGGGGGCGGCCTTCTACTCTTTTTTTCTTGTCCTTTTCTTCCTTTCCCTCTACCCTCTCCTTTGTTCTCCTTCGCATTTGAACATTTTCTTCCCATTTCCCAATATCTATTATACATTTTGGTATATTTACACTTTCAGTTTCTCACCTCAGAGAAACAATGCAGTATTTGGGCCGGGGGTTTAGCTCAGTGGTTTCACCGCCTGCTGTGCAAGCACAAGGACCTGAGTTCGATCCCCGGTACCAAAAAAAAACCAAAACAATGCAGTATTTAAACATGTGTGTCCAAACTATTTCACCTAAGAGTATAGTCTCAAAGTGCATTCATTTATCTAAAAATGTCTCAAGTTTATCCTTCTTTATATAAAAAGCACATCTTCTTTATCCATTCATCTGTTGATAGGCATCTGAGCTGTTTCCAAGATTTAGCTATCTCAGGGCCGGGGATTTAGCTCAGCGGTTCTGTCGCCTGCCTTGCAAGCGATCCCCAGTACCAAAAAAAAAGATTTAGCTATTACAAATCATGCTGCTATAAACATGGGTGTGCATATATCTCTGTGGTATGGTGCTTTTAACTCTTCAGAGAAGATACCGAGAGGACGAATAGCTGGGTCAAATGGAACCTCTAGTTTTAGTTTTTTGAGGAATTTCCGTACTGATTTCCATATTGATTGTACCAGTTTATGCTCCCACCAACAGTGGAGAAGGGTTCCTTTTTCCCCAGAGCCTCACCAGCATTTGTTATTCTTTCTGGAGTGAGATGGAATCTCAGTGTTGTTTTAATTTGTATCTCTTGAATGACCAACATCTCTTGAATGTTCAACATCACTATGTTGAACATGTTTTCATACATTTATTAACCATTCGTACTTCTTTTTCTCAGAAGTGTCTATTCATTTCAGATGTCCATTTTTTGAATTGATTTTTAAATTTGGGGGGGGTCTGATTTTTTGTGTGTTCTTTATATATTCTAGATATTAGTCCTTTGTCTGAGGAAGGAAATTTCATGATGCATTAGCGCCCTTATAAGAAGAACAAAGGATCAGAGCCATCTTTCCCACCAAGTAAGGAGCATATAGCAAGAAGCTGCCATCTACAAACCAGGAAGAGACCCTTCACCAGAACCTGACCATGCCAGCACCTTGATCTTGGACTTTCCAGCATGTAGAACTGTGAGAAATAAATGTCTGTCAAAGCCATCTAGTCTATAGTGCCTATAGTGTCTGTTATGGCAGCCCAAGGTGGCTAAGATAGATGTTATTCTTTATAAGACAATGAATTAACAAAAAAATCCAGAACTTAATGATGTCACTCAAGAGAAAAAAAATACAGAAAAAAAGTGGGGAAAGAAAAGGAGCGATAGCACTGGGGATTTGCTCAGTGGTTTCGCAGCCTGCTGCGCAAGCACAAGGACCCAAGTTCGATCCCCGGTACCAAAAACAAAACAAAACAAAAAAAACAGCAGCGATGGAGAGAGATGTTTTTCTTTTTAAGTTGACAAATGCTAGCTTATACATGAAAAACAACTGATTAAACTCTGAACATTGCCATGCTGCCATCTCCAAAGTAATGACTGATCAAAGATCATCAATTGATGCAAAAATCATTGGGTTATTGAAAGACAAGATATTTACATATGTCAAAGTATCAACTCACATATTGCTTACTAGATGATAAAAAGAAAAGTTAACTTTATAATGGAGGATCTAGAAAATATCATCTTAATCAAATATCAAAGTTAACATGCCAATAATAGAAAAGACTGACATTACACTTCCTGAGGTGATGCCATGGAAGAACACGTCACTTATGAGGTGTCGTGCCAAAACATTCATCTTCATCTTAGTAGGTATCGTGCTAAATTGTTCATCTTGCACCTAACTGTGAGGGAATGGAATATGCAGTACTGGCATTTGCTTCTCAGAACTGTCAATGGCACAGAAGGAAAACAAAAAAGAGACTATTCTAGATTTTAAGAGACTAAGGAGACAAGAACACCAATTATAATACATGAAGCACAATCAGGTTCCATATTGCAAAGGGAAAAAAACTCACAACAGCAAGACATTTTTGAATGTAAATTGTATTATTGAGGTGATATTATTGAGTTAATGATGAATTTCTTGGGTGTGATAATGGTGGTGTGAGTATGTAAGACAATATCCTCATTCTCAGGATACAGGCTGGAAATATTCTGTAGGGGCTTTTTTTTGGGTCTTTTTTTTCACTTTTCTTTTTTGGTACCGGGAATTGAACCCAGGACCTCACGCTTGCTGGGCAGGCGCTGCGCCACTGAGCTAAATCCCTGGCCCCAGGCTGGAAATATTCTTGGGTGAAGGGTCATATTTACAAATGCAGCAAAACATTAAGACTGGTGACTTTGGACTATCCTCTCCACTTTTCTATAGATTCGAAATTTTTTCGCAAGTGCAAGGACCCGAGTTCGATCCCCAGTACCAAAAAAAAAAAGCTTGTAGATTTGAAATTTTTCCAAATGAAGTTCAAAAAATTTACTACAGACTCCTCTGCATCTCCACATAACGAAATTCTTCATACAGTTCTCCATTCTACCTGCTCAGTTATTCTCTAAGATTCTAGGCAGAAGAAAACCTTAACATGGGGTTAGCAAGCCTCTGACACATCCAGAAAATTCTAGCAGCTCTTTGAACAACCTGTGTGAGGACCCAAGTCCACGACTTGGTGATTTTTTGACTCAGCTTCTATTTTTCACAGGCCAACATCTAGCAGAACTCCTGAGTCACGATGCCCAAACACACTCTGTCCTCCAGACTTTGCCTTGTGCCCCAAGACACAAGTCCTTGGGCATCTAGCTCTGATGGGTCCCATCTCCCACCCCCACACCTGCCCCTGACTGGGGCCCTGGTGGAACTCAGTCCTCTGACCCCTGGCTTACCCCTCAGTGCCTTTCTCTGAAGAAACACACACACCATTCCTCTGATTCAAAGGCTTCCTTCTTGGGCTGCACAGTTGACAGTGCTTTCTTTCCCACTTTCTCAACCCTTTATCAGCCACTATTAAAATGATTCCCGGGCTATGTTATAATGACTTGTTCATTCACGAGTCTCCCCACAACCGAGACTGTTTCCTCTAGAGCAGGAAATACATGCTCTCATCTTTGTAAAGCACAGCTTCTGAACACATGCTAAGTATTCATACCTAGAGTGAATTAAGTTAAGAGAAACATAAATGATCCTATAATTTCATCTCAGTCTCCTTTTGTGGCTTTTCATTTTCTTTGTCATGTTCAAGGGACCACAGCAGCAAACACAAGACACTCCAAAGACCAGTTCCATAACAAAAGACACAGGAGTAATACCTATATCCTCACATTTTGGACCTATACTTTGAGTCAGCCAGATGTTTGTAAGCATTAGCAGAGATGAACCAAGATTAAATGAAATGGACCTTGGAGTGGCTTAAACCAATCTCCTTTTCTAGAATGCACTGTGGTAATCCCACCGAAGTCTCTGGTAACCCTCTCCCCTACAACTTGGCCTCCAGGCTTCCACAGATAGCCACCGACTGTCCCCACATGGAACTAATGCTTGTGGTTGGAAAGAGACAGCATGGCAGGATGCCAGGATGGCACTGAGTGCCTGGCAAAGGGCAGCTCGCATGGATGGACACACATCTGTCACTCAATGCCCACCCCAGGCCCAGTGCTTACCTCCACACTTAGACCTATCAGAACCTTAACCCAGCTTCTCTTATGACTCAGCTCCCTGACTTCCACTTACTCCCTCCATTTTGACACGCTTTCATCCTAAGCTGACTACTTCCCATCTGTTCTCCCATCCTCCTTGTCCCTGTTGGAACCTGCTTCTCTGCTGAAAATATTAGAAACTGACAATTCACTCTCATCTTCCTCACACTTCTGGAATCCCAGCAGAATTCTGCCATCATCCTCCACTTCCATAAACATAATGATCGCCCACTGGATCTCACTTATTGCGAAAAACAAACTCCTGCTGCTCTTGTGGAATCATCTGATGGTAAACTGCAGATCCAATGTCCCATTACCCCTGTATGCACAAAGCATTTCTACATAATTGCAGTATAACCTTGGCACTGCTAGGATAATATAATATCAGGAAATCAACCTTGGTACACTACCGCAGATCCCATTCAAATTTCACTGTCTTTCCAATAAGGCAAGAGATAATAATAGTCTAAGATCATTTATCTGTCACATTTCTTTAGTCATCTTCAGTCTGGAACAATTCCTTGGCCTTTCTTTGACTTTTATAACCTTGACAGTTATGAAAATTACCAGAAATCATTCTATAGACTCTCCCTCCATTTGGTTTTGTCCATGAATATATTCGGGTTATTTTTTGTTTTTAGGGGCAGGGGTGGGAGACATGATTGATGTGTTATTGCCCTATAAGTAGCTGTATTATATCAGTTTGGATCATTTGTGTCTCCCTGGTTTCTCCCCTTCTCTTTGTAGTTAATACGCATTTCGTAGAGTAACTCTGAGCTATGCAAATACCCTATTCCTCACTGAATTTTGGTCCACTGATTTTAGTATTTCTTGAAATTTCTTGCCTGAGTTAATTATTAACTATGATGATGACTTTTAAATATCATCCTTTCTGTCACATTTATTAACCAGCATTCCATTACAGGTAGAAGTCTTATTTTTCTCTTACTTATTTATAGTGGTATGAACTCATGTTTTTATATTACTCAATGAATTCTCTTCTATTACTACTCTATTTTGATGCTGAAACTGTGCCAAGTTTGGCCAGCATAAGCACCAACAGGCTGGCTCCTATGCCCTTTTGACGTGTTCCCATCATTCTTTGAACATTTCCTTATTTTGTAGCACAGAAAGGTATTTCAGACTCACCTCGTACTTCCCTGCCCCAGGCCCAGAATTAGCCATTTCCCTAAGGAGCTCTGGTTCTTTTTGATGGAAAATGTCATTTAGATTCCAAGGCCTGGGTAATAAGAGTGCCTCATGTTGTTGGCTCAGGCCTGTTGGTGGACACAGTTAAGAAAGACACGTGACTCACAGCTCCTCTAGGGATGTCCACTGTGGCCTGAATGCTTATGTTCCTTCAAAATTCACATGTTGAAATCCCAACCCAAAAAAGGATAGCACTAGGAGATGATTAGGTTATAAGGGCTCACTCAGCCTCACAAAGGGATCAGTGCCCTTATTTAAAATAAAATTTAAAAAAAAAAGAAGGCTGAAGGAAGATTGTTCATTGCTTCCTCCATGTAATGACACAACTCAACTAGAAGGTGCTGTGAAGCAGGCAGCAGGCCTTCTCCAGACACTGAACCTGCACACACCTTGGTCCTGGCCTTCTAGCCATCAGAATTATAAGAAATATATTTTTGTTTATAAGCCATCCATTCTATGGTACCCAAACAGACTAAGACTTCCTCCCATGCACCAAGCAAGCCTCTACCTCGGTAAAATCTGGTAGGATCCTGACCGTTCCTTTCTTCATAAGCCCTGACCTCTGAGTCACTATAGGGCTGTCACTACACAGCAAGGGTTGGGGAGGATGGTGTCCTGACTCTCAAAGAGGTCTTCTTCCTCTTCCAAACACTCAACACTCTCAGATGGAAGCACCTAGTTCCATCTAATTGTGTCATCCTTGCTGCCTTACCCTGTGTGTTTGCTTGTAACTCGTGACCTTATAGGTGGACTTTCAGAGTCCCTGGATCCCAGGCAGCCTGGGGGTTAGTCCTGCCCCTTGCAAATTTCCACCCCACTACCCAGATCTCAGGACCCAGCAAGGTGCAGGCCTAGCATCCTAGGACCTTTTTGTTCCAGAGGAGACTTGTCCCATTGAAAAGTAGCACAAAAAATGAATTCCATTTTTAATACTGATAGTCATATATTCCGTATCTCTGTAATAAATATTTTGATAGTGCAGCAAAGTGACATTCACCTCTGGCTTGGAGGTGGGGGTGATAATTTGATCCCAAGGTCTACCCTCTTCAGCTAGTGCTACATTTCTGAGCTTCTTTCCTTTCTGTACCCCTGAAAGCAAAGTCTTCTAAAAGCTCCACTGTTCTTCCCTTTACTGTTCTTCCCAATTTCATCTCCAGAAGCATCTGACCACCCTGGTAGCAAAAGGGCACACATAAATATGGTTCTCACTATATGCAAGAGACTGGTATGGAGAAAGACTCATGAGGTATATGGAATA